CGCGTTGCCTGACTACTCTTCGCCGTGGACAGGTCGAGTAATTTATCACACCTGCGATGGGCATGGATGGCAGCTAGTCAGACGGCGCGACCCGATGCGAGATCGACTGGTGCCCAAGATACGAAAGGTCAAGCATTCTGAGCCCATGACGAGGCCGGTGTCTTCGGTGGAGGAGTTTCTGGTTTCTGTGGGCGAATTGCTAAGCAGACTGGGGTATTGAGTCTCCGGTCAGATAATGTTCGGAGCTTCTTTTTGGCTGGGTTTGTTTCTCTAGGCGGGCCAGATTTTGAAGGTTTCGCCTTCAACACCGTTGAGAAGTCAGATGAGTTCCAAGCTGAACTTCGTCAAGCAAGCCAGCAGCAGTTGAAGGACTGGATGAGCACGGCATTTCTCAACGGCGCGGGCAAGGCGCATTGGCGCACCAGACTGCAAGCTCTGCAAGCTAACATCATGAGCACGCAGCGCACGCAACCTCATGAAATGGTGGACGATGAGATGTGGAAGTGGCGTCGGGCCTGGACATATCATGACACGCAGCGCATGCAATTACCCAGCGCACACGTTCATTGGCCAGCATTGCAGCACATCACAGTGCAGAGCGTGCGGGGCGCAGTGCAGACATTTTCGTGGAAGACAGCCACTGGTCCGACTCGGATTCGCCCACGGTTGTTCGAGTATATTCCAGATGTTCGTTAAATCGCTGTCGCCGAGCTTTTCATGCTGTGCGAGCGGCTCTTGATCTGGCCGCAAGGTAGAATCATTAACGATATGGTCAGGCTTGCTAAGGCCGATGGGGGCACTAGATTGATCACGCTAGTCGAGAGCCTGGTCCGTTTGTGGCCCCGCATGCGAAGGCCGATTTCCAGGACATGGGCCAAAAGCCGCGGGGGTAAGCATGTCTGGGGCAACCGTCGGGGATACTCGTTGTCGTTTGCAGCGTACGAGCATAATCTACGAGCTGAAGTAGCTGAAGTAGCATAGTATGAGACATGTGGGAATGCTTCGAGATGGTGTTGTTTCCTGCCTTGATGGGTGAGGCGATCTGCCTCGCCTATCCGATTGGATTGCTTGGGATGTTGTTAGAGTCCCACGTGCAGCCAGGAGTGATAAAAGGCTCATGGTTGCTGGAGTCTACCGACAGTTGCGCTGTAATGTATCTTAGCAGGTTGCACGCATGCGGCGACGTTGTTGAATATATTGTCGCCCCGCGTGGTCAACAAGGTGCACGCCGAGCATGGCACCATCATGCCCAGGGCCCTGGTGGACGACAGTACTCTGCAGTGGTCTGGCTCTAATCTCGGGGAGGTTTCGGAACTTTCGGAGGCTGTCTCGGAGTTCAAGGAAGATGTTCGGGAACTGGGACTCATTGTTCGACCTGGGAAGTCGGGGTGGGTTTCCAGGTCCAGGGGTTCTTGGAAGTCGTTCGGCGAGCGTGCTAAGCGATTGCGTCTCACGGCTAAGACATGGACCAGAAATCTTGGGCTTGAGCTCTCGGGGACGAAACCGATCAGAAAGCAAGCCGCAGTGAGACTCAAAAAGCTTAGAGATAGGATGCAAAGGGCACTCATAGTGCGCAAGAACGCTGGAGGCTTGGTCATTGCACTCTGGCGTACTGGATTGCTTCCTGCTGCTGCGCACGGCGCTTCTGTGTCTGGAGCTTCGGAGCAGGAGCTCCTCAGGCTCAGGCACGCAGCTGGCGTAGTTTGCGGCAGATCGCCCACAGCATCTTCTTTAACGCTACCGTTAGCCACGCAGCGGCATGAGTAACAGGATCCAGTTGTTCATGCTACTCTGGAACCTGTGCAGGCTTACGCGAGCTTTGTATGGGATCAGCGCATTTCCTTGGGACGGCCCCAGAGGGCTTGGGAGGCGGTCAACCAGCAACTTCGGGTAGCAGCTAACTGGGCTGATGCTCGGGGACCGATTTCAATACTGTGGCTCACACTAGCTAGGATAGGCTTGAGTATGCTTTCTAGCACCGTCCTTTGCGATGACAACCAGTACACGATCGATTTATTGCGAATTCCACCCAGAGCAGTGCTCTCATTGGTCAAGGATGGAGTTCAAAGGTGGCAGGCTTCGAAGATATTAGATTGGCTTAAGGACGTGTGCTTTGGTGGCGAGCAGATTTGGATGCGTGCTCTTCGGCGATGCCTAGGCGGTGCCAAGACAGCTGTTCGGGCCCCTCGGTTTGCAGGTGCCCTAAGGACGCTCTGGTCTGGAGGACTCTGGCCAAGATCTAGGATGGCGAACGCGGGTTATCGCATTTCCCCAGCGCGCCCATGGTGCCCCACTGGACCTCCTGGCACCTTAGGCCACCCAATGTACGATTGCCCCAGGCTCTACGATGAAGCTCAAGATGAGGACCTCAGATGGGACCCCAAGTTTGACTACATCCAGAAGCACCTCCGGTCCATGGGCGTCGCGGGCCTCGGGGGCCCCGATTGGGGCGAGTTTAAATGTTGTGTGGGCATGCCGCTGTCTCCTCCAGCCATGCCGAAGATTCCCTTGGAGATGCCTGCGGTGCTCTGGGGTGGCTGGTCGTCGGACAGGTCCACATGGACCATTGTGGCTTGCACGGGCGGGTCTGGGATGGTCCCAAGTTGGCCAGAACTCCGGCGATGTGGCTGGGGGATCTGTCAGCAAGGAAACAATGGCATGCCCGTGCGAGGGGCCTACGGTGGGCTGGCTGGCCCAATTCAGACAGTAGGACGTGCTGAGCGTGCTGCGGTCTGGCAGGCGCTCTCCTTGCTCCCGTATGGCTCGTTCATCGCGACTGACCTTGTGTCTCTGCGCGATGAAGGTACGGCGTGGCACGAAGACCATGCTGACGCCCAAGCTACTATTCAAGATATCTGGAGAGATACATTCAATTTGGTCGGCGACAAGAAGCGGCCTTCTTGACAGTGGGTTCCAGCTCACATGAATCTGGAAAAAGCGTTGCTCTCGAGTTACCCATTAGAGTTAAACCTCGGCAATGCGTGGTCGGACTGGTTCGCGAAGAAAGGGTCCATGGGGCACGCCCTTCCAGAAACGACCGGTAAGCACCACGAGGGGCTGTCGTCGGAGGCCATGCTCAAGGCCAAGTTTCTTGGGTGGGCCGCTGCTGAGATAGCTTATCGTGATGGTGAAAGTGACCGCCCCACTCGTTCCCATAGGCAATCCACGGCGGCCCCGGAGTTGGGCCTCACTCAGCATAGCATGGTGCATATGTCTCGGGACGGGGCCAAGGTGCTCCAGCGTCGACTCTGTATGTCTGTAGCTAGGGCCCCTGCTAGCTGGCGAAACTGCTTGACGCCCCGTGTAACCCGACCCCTTCAGCAGGGGTTGATGTTTGTTCGGGACAAGGTCTTGCAGGAGGCTCCATTTATGCGTCGTCAGGCGGTAGGAGTGGCCCTACAGTGGGCCCAAGATGAGGGTGCCGACAGCACCCCAGAGGCGGCACCTGTTCATAGTGAATCGTCTGCGCCGCCGCCAGACGAGATTGTTGAGCTCCGTGGGCACCGTGTTTGGGTGACCCAAGGGGCCATGGTGTGCACCCTATGCGGCTCCTATCAGATGTCTGCTAAGGCTGCCACATTTAATATTGGCGAGGCCTGCTTAGGCCCGGCTGAGGACAAACTTGTCAGGGCCAGGCAAAGATCTAAGATCGATGCCGTAAAGGCTGGCAAGCATCCCAAGACGGGTAAGCAACTCGTGCAGTTTGGTGTGCCCCTTGCAGGGCCCATCTGTTGGCCTGTGCTCCTGGTTCAGTTGCACGACAGGTCATCAGCGTTGTCCTCCCTCCTCCCCCCCCCCCTCCCTCCAGATCCTTTCTCCTCCCTCCTTCCTTCCTCCTCCTCTCGCTCCTCCTGCTCCTGCACCCCCTCCTGCTCCTGCTCCCCCTCCGCTCCCCTTCCTCCTCCTCATCTTCCTGGTTCCCTCCCTTCTCCCTCCTCCCTGGAAGAGATGAGGCCGACGTCCTCCTCTGGAGGAGATGAGGCCGACGTCGTCGTCTAAAGAACAAGCAGACAGGCAGACGAGGGAGGAGGAGGAGGAGGAGGAGGGAAGAAGAGGAGGTGGGAGGAGGGAACAGGAGGAGGAGGAGGAGGACTGGCAAGATAATGGGGGGCGTTAAGGGCGCATTGGGGAATGAGGGGGGGCTTAGGGGGAGGAGGAGGAGGAGGAGGAGGAGGAGGAGGAGGAGGAGGAGGAGGAGGAGGACGAGGACGAGACGAGGGACGAGGAGGAGGAGGAGGAGGAGGATGAGGAGGATGAGGATGAGGAGGAAGAGGAGAAGGAGGAGGAGGACGAGGAGGAGGGGGAGGAGGGGGAGGAGAAGGAGGAGGAGGAGGAGGGGGAGGAGGAGGGAGAGGGGGAGGGGGAACTCCTCTTCCTCCTCCTGCTGGAGGAAATACAGACCTTCACGGTCCGGGCTCCAGGAGGAGGAGGAGGAGGAGGAGGAGAAACAGGATGAGGAGGAGGAGGAGGAGGAGGAGGAGGAGGAGGAGGAGGAGAAGGAGGATACGAAGGAGGAGGAGCTTAGCACGTTGGAGGGAGGAGAAGGCGAAGGAGGAGGAGGAGGAGACGAAGGGGGCGCGAAGCGCATGATTGAATTCAAACTGGAGCGCAATGAGCTTGGTACGTTTGAAGCAAACTGCAGCGCAACGCGCTTGATTGAAGTGAGCTGGAGCGCAAGCGTTGGCATCGCAAAGCGCTGGGCAAACGAACACACCAAACAAAACGCGATGGGGGGCAGACATAACGCAACAACATAGGAAAACGTGGTGCCCGCCCCTCAAAACAAAAAGTATTCGCAACGCGTTTTATTTTGCAAATGGCAAAATTTCAGGAATTAGAGTGGTTGAAGATAGGGGGAAACCTGGGGATAGAGTGGCTCAAGATAGGGGGAAGTTAATTGTCAAAAAACAAGCCAGAAATATGAAAAGCTGTCTTCCACAACTTCAACCTAACTTCCACAACTTCAACATCACTACCATAACTAGTTATGAGCATATCAGGAGGACTTCCGCGGCAAGCCGAAGACCTGCGCCACCCGGAGCCAGGTGGTGTCGATTGGCAGCGTCGGGCACCCGCACTCGTGCAGCGAGCCGTGCAAGCACCGCATGCGCAAGACCGGCTGCCTCCTGGGCGCGAGCTGCCACAAGTGCCACCTGTGCCACTGGCGCTCGGAGCGCGCCAGGACCGCGCAGGAGCTGCGGCAGGCGGCGCTGGGCGTCCCCGCCGCTGCCGCCCTGGACGCGCTGGCCAGGACCCCGCCGCCGCCGCAGCCCCGCGAGGTGCACCGCCCAATGCCGTGGGAGCCACCGGCGCCGCCGCAGGTCCCCCGCCTGGCGCCGCCCACGCGCAGAGACCAGCCCGCCTACGTGATCCCCAGCGCCTCCGTCGGCGAGCGGCCCCCGTCGGCGCCCGAGGCGGCGGCGGCCGCGGGCGGCAAAGGACCGCCGGCCGCCTTCCGCGGCTCCGCGGACTGCCCCTCGCTGGGGTCCATCGGCCATCCGCTCTCGTGCCAGTGGCCGTGCAAGTACGCCCGCAAGTTGAAGGGGTGCAAGCAGGGGCCCGCCTGTGACCGCTGCCACCTGTGCTGCTGGACGCGCTCGAAGGAGCACAAGAAGCAGATCCTGGAGGCGAAGGTGCTCCCCCTCTTCGGGTAGTCGGTGGAGAGGTCTTTGGTCCGAGATGGTGCAGCCTCGAGCAGCAAATGCGGAATAGACGTATGAGAGCTCCGTTCGCCGGTCGTTGACGCCTATGTCGCTTCTTGCTGTCGTCAATGATGGTGGAGCCATCGTTGGCACAACGGGAGCGAGCCACGCAAGTGTGCGGGCTCTTCGCGCCGACCGCCTCCAGTTGTGGCGTTGTTGTTGTTGTTGTTGTTGTTGTTGAACATTATTAATTCTAAAGAATAATTATTGTTGGGCCCCCTGGTGCGCGCCCCCCCCGCCGCGCCTAGGCCGCAGCCACGTTTTCATCATTTTCGTGAGGAAGCCTCAGGTAATTCGATGTCATCCAGATCCGGTTGTTTTGTTGTAATCCGCTTTCCCTTGCAAAAAACACTATAAAATGACATTTCTTGTTCTAATATAATCAAATTTCAAGAATCCCTTGCAAAAAATAAGGTAAAGTGGACATTCGCGCGCGCAAGACGAAATCCTTCCAAAAGCTTAGTGTTCGGAGCGATTTTAACATAAAAACATCAAAAAACCAATGGTTTTTCAACAAAAAAATGTCAAAATCTCATCCCGCGCGCTCTTGCGGATTCGTAGGAAACCCAACACTTTTTAAACATTTCTGTCAAACGGGCTTTTGCGAGCAACTTTTTCGAACTTCTGCGACAACGGTTGCGCACCTGCCAGGGCCATCATCCCTGTCAAATAATACCATGCGGGACACATTCGTTTTTTCTTCGCGCGCGCACGCCGAAATCTCCAAAAACCATTGGGTTCTGTGGGTGTGTACCCCACGCCAGTGTAGTAGCCACGGTCGTCCGCACGCCACGAAGTGAAGTGTCCCAACGTCATAGGGCGGGAAGCTGGGTTTGGGTGGTCGCGAAGAGTCGTTTGGATATTTGGTAGAGCTTGTAATGCCCCCCCACGAAGTGGGGGTATTGCCTGGTGTCGTATGAAAACCCTGGCACTGGGGAGAACACCACGCGTTCGGGTAAAATGATTGTTGTTGTTGTTGTTGTTGTTGTTGTTGTTGTTGTCTGTCAGGGATGGTGGAGCCATCGCTGGCACACTTGGCGACTGCTTCGAGCGGCACATACCGCCAGTAGTGGAGTTTCGCTTTGCATGCATCGGACGTGTACGACTGACGCCTGGCACACTGAGCCGTCTGACTCACTGCCTCGATGCATGCCGTTCGGCAATTAATGTCCTCCGCAGCTCCGCGGGCGCAGACAGGGAACAGTCTCGTAATTGTTCGCGCCGTGCGGTAGCACATGGAGGCTAAATCGCAGTGTAGACATGTTTGAATACATTGCTGCTTGTGGCGCTGGTATGCGAAGGCGCATCGCCCCGACATTTGGTGGAGCCATCTCCGGGGCACACCGACAAGCGCATGAAGCGTCTACAAGGTACATTTTCCAGCTGATGCACGCATCGTGTTGTCACAAGCTGGAGATACAGTGCGATCGTGAAGGTCTTCGACCGCTGGGCGTGCAGGTATTACCATATCCAATGCTTGTTGGTGGCACGACCTGCCCTTTTCGAGAAAGGAACATGCTCGGCGGTCGTGTACTTTTGCCGGTCCTCCCACACATCCTCGCCTTCAGTTTCTTCTCCCAACCTTCTCTCTTCCCTCCCCCATTCGCCCCTCCGCTCGCGACTCGGTCCTGGCCGAGCCGCACGCGAACAGGTGGCGCGCGCACGGTACGCGCGGCCCACGAATCGCCAGCGCTGGACTTTGATACAGTCCACCCCTCCTCGCGTTCCCTCTGCCCAGCCGCCCGACTGGCAGCCTCGTCGCCTCAGGGGCGTTTCGCGGTCTGTCGGTGGCTCCACCGCGTCGCGCTCATTTTGTGCTCGGTCTCTCCTCTCCTCTCGCTCGCCTTGTCCACTACCGTCTTGACCTCCCCCTTCCATCCCCTCCCGCCTCTACCTCGTTCCTTGTAAGTCCACGTTTGGCCGTCCCCGTGACGGGCCAATTACTATTGCAAGAACGTGAAGTCTTCTTGTCGCCCTGTGGCTCTCTGTTTCTTGCGCTGCAGCACGCGCCAGGCTGGAAGTCTTAGTTGCGATGCTTGCTGCCCGGGAGCGGTGCCGCTATTTGAGATGTGTGCGTGCCCCATACTCCACGCAAAGTTCTATTCTGTCCCACACGGGATTTCTTCAGTGTTTGGCGATTGTTAGTTTAAGTATCACGGATTGGGCCGTTGCCCTTCGTGGAGTGGTGCGTCGTGCTCACGCCGTGTCACATGAGCTGTCAGCGTACGAGGCCGTCCCGCCCCATGCAGCCACTCCCGCTGCATGCGGCAGCAGTCCTTCCCCAACGGCTCGAGAGCGATCGCCGGGCCCTACGCTTGTACAGCAGTGTCGATGGTGCTCACGACTCAGATCCTAAGAAGCGACTGCCTTGGGGACCTCGCCATGCCCGTCCTCCCTGGTGGAGCCAGCCTTGCGGCGGGCGGGCCTGGCCCCTTCGGCTGCGGGCAGGTGGCTGGTCACAGGGGGCCCAGCAGCCTATCGCGGTTCCCAGATCTCTGGGGGAAAACAAGGACCCCCCAAGTGGCCAACATTTTTCAAACACCAAAGGAAAATCAGTGTTGTTTGCCTTCTCGCTGTTTCGCTTCCGATTGGCGCTTGAGGCCTCAAGATGGCCCCAAGACGGCCCAAGATAGCCCCAAGAGGGCCCCAAGAGGGCCCCAAGACGGCCTCAAGAGCGCCCAAGAGCGCTCCAAAAGCGGGCCAAGAAGGCCCCCAAACAGCATTGTTGAGCTTCCGAGAGGGGGCGTAAATTAAGTACCCCCCTCTGGCTGTGCCTCCAGAGAGTCCTCCTGCGGGGGCCCTTGGGTCGACGTCTGGGGGCGCCCGCGCAGACCTCCCGAGGACGTCCGTTGTCGGGGTCGTCGTCGAGGTCGTCATCGTCGCCACCGCCGCCGCAGCCGTCGTCGTCTTGGGGGAAGGTCCTAGGAGGAGGAGGAGGAGGAGGAGGCGGAGGAGGAGGAGGAGGAGGAGCGCTCGAGACTTCTTGAAGATGTGGTTGACGTGTGGAGTGCGATCTGTGGCGTTTGCGCGCTGCAGTCCATGCGGTGCAACGGTATGCGGTGCCCAGGATGGCAGCAAGACATTGGGACAAAGCATGGGATCGACCGCAGGGCACGATGGGTCATTATGGAGCACCGACCATAGGGCCATGGTGCATCAGAGGGCCTCGCCCGTAGGATACTCCAGATTTCGTCATAAAAGGGAGGGGGTCTCAACCCTCCCAGACGAGAAGTTTTAGACTTTCCCAGACCATCCATGAAAGGGCGGCAGCTCAAATTAGAACTCCCCCCAAATGTGACCCCCCCGACTTTATTATGGAATACGGAGTACCCAGGCGGCAAAGAGAACTCGTGACAACAGTGGCATCATAGGGCTCCAGCCTTGGATACCAACCACCTGCAGGGCACGAGGGTGTGAGCCAAGAGTTGCTGGTCACCCGGCCATGCTCCTCCTTCCCTCCCCCCCTTTTCATCAGTGTGCTCTTCTCTCCTCCCTCCTCTTCATCCTCGACCACGGTTCCCTCGTCCTGCTCCTCGCTTCCCTCGCCCTGTCCTGTCTCCTTGCTATGTCGTCGGCCAGGGGCCGGCTGGGCGGCGCGCGTGGGCGGATCCCCCCTCGGGATCGGCCGAGGTGGAGAGGAGCGCGAGGGCTTGGCGACTACGCCCAGCGTGCACGATGTCGACGATGAGCGCCCGCGCGTGACACGGGGAGGAGGACGAGAGAAGCAGCCAGACAAGCGTTGGAGAAAATGAGGAGGAGGAGGACCAGTGCAAGCCCAAGGCCCATCAACGATATTGTAATAAGCCCTGCCTCCAAGCTCTGTCTCCATGAGTCCCATACAAATGTTCGTTTCCACTGAGAGAAGGGTCTCGTTGAGAGACAACCCGTTTGAAGACCCTGAAGGGTGCCGAAGCATCATTCTCTTGACTCCAACGCGACGAATCAACGTGACCGTTGCGCCTCGACGATCCTGAATCGCGCCAGAGCACCATTCATGGGACTTCAACACCGCGAGACAACGCAACTGTTGCGCCCTGACAGTCCTGAACTGTTCCCAAACACCATTTCTGGTACGCTGACCATGGGCATTCGCGAATATCTTACGACGTGTTGAAACGAAAGTGCGCGGCGCTAAGGCGAGAGCCGAGAGCCACATTTTGAAAACGAGTCGTCTTCCATCAGCGAAGCTCTTGCACATGATCAAAACGAATGTGCGCGGAGCTACGGCGAGAACCACATGTTTTAAACGTCCTGCCCTCCATCTGCGAAGCTCTTGTAAATTTTTAAGACGAAGGTACGCGGTGCTAAGGCGAGAGCCACATTTTGAAAACGACCTGCCCTCCACCCGTGAAACGCTTGCACACGTTCAAAATTGTGCGCGGCGTTGAGGCGAGAGCCACAGTTTGAAAACCACCCGACCTCAATATGCGATGCTGTTGCCATTGTTTAAGTTTCAGGGTCATAAATGGTGAGGAAGTCTCAGGCGGAGGGCCCGGCCCGCCCTTTCGACCGGCTTCGGAGCGCGACAGGGAGGAGTTGCTTATAAGAGAAAGAAATGGAGGGGGAAGAGGTGGAGGAGGGCGGGGGGGGGGAGGGGGAGTTCGAGACGGATGGCAAGGGGGGAACTTATGGGAAGCGGGGGTGGGGGAGGAGACGAGCGAGGATGGGCGGGGGCAGAGGAGGAGGAGGAGGAATAGGAGGAATAGGAGGAGGAGGAGGGGGAGGAGGAGGAAGAGGAGGTGGAGGAAGAGGAGGTGGAGGAGGAGGTGGAGGAGGAGGAGGTGGAGGTGGAGGAGGAGGATGGGGACGCGAAGGAGCAGGAGCAGGACAAAGAAGAGGACCAGGAGTAAGATCGGGGGGAGGAGGACCCAGAGCAGGAGCAGTAGGTGCAGGAACAGGAGTTGGTTTTCGAAGAAAAATGAAGAGGAGCAGGATAATGAGGAGGACCATGATGAGGACAGGCAGCACGAGGGGCAACAAGAGGGAATTTGGGCGACGAGGCGATGAAGGGAGAACAGAAGCATCAGCTGATGATGGGGAGGATGGGGTTTGGCGGGTATGGCGCGAGTAGATGCCGAGGGAGGAGGGACACGAGGGGGGAGCAGCAGGGAGGGATAGAAGATGAGAGGGAAAGAGAGAGAGAGAGAGAGAGCGACAGAAGGAGCGAGAGAAGGGAGAGATAGAGATGGAGAGTGAGGGGCCATTGCTCCTTCTCCTCCTGCCCCTCCTCCTCCTGACCTCTGGGTACGCTGGGCTCTTCTACCTCCTCCTCCTCCTCTTCCTCCTCCTCCTCAGCCTCCTCCTCCTCCTCCTCGCCTCTGCACAGGTGGCAGGAAGGGGGGATGAGAGGGAGGAATGACGAGGAGGATGGGGAGGGTGAGGAGGAGGCGGCAGTCATCGTTGTCGCCGTCGACGGAGGAGGAGGAGGAGTTGCAAGGAGAGGATAGGGCGGGGAGGAGGAAGAGGACAAGAACAATCCAAGGATTCATAACATATGCTGTAGTACACACTCCCGTCTCAAGTCCCCTCATACATCCCTGCAGGAATTCCCCCTCGTTATGTGACACATCATTTTAAATACGAGTGGCCCACGGATCCTCCGTTCAGGCGAGAGCCTTGTCTTGAAAAGGAATTACCCTGACGAGCGCGACTGCACCAGAAAGCTAAAGACGTGTCCCGTGGAAGGTCCATTTTGAACATTTTTGCCCATTCGTGTGGCTGGTTGTTGATACGTGCTGAAGCTCTTTAGCGAGAGACCCGTTTTGCAGAGGAGCCGCCGTCCTTTTTTTATCATTGTTGCACACTTCCCCATGTCGGGCCGCACTGTGAAAAGGAGCCGTCGTCCATCTGCGTGATTGATGTACAATGTTGCACCCCGTGTCGTAGATTTTGAGGCGTCGCAGCCGGTTGCACCATTTTGGGGGGGCAGAGAGAGAGAAGGGAGGTCAAACAATTAAGTCGTTGTAGGGGCAGGTAACGTTGATAACGAACGCGCGCGGTGCTGGGACTACAGTCACGGTTGAACATTGGTCCACCTTTCATATTCGCATTTTGTCGGAAGAGTTGTGAGCGAACGCGCGCTGCGTTAATGAGAGAGAGAGAGGGAGAGAGAGAGAGAGGGAGAGAGAGAGAGAGAGAGAGAGAGAGAGCCAGAAAGAGAGAGAGAGAGAGATACGCATGTTCAACACGATGTTCCCTCCACGTGTGTAAGAGTTTGGGATTTGCATGTTTTGCGGGCGCATTTGCGAGGACGTCCCAGGAGGAACGCCAGGAACACCATACCAACACTTCTGGTTTCGCGACGAGGAGGACTTAAGGAAGAGGGGTGGAGGAGGAGTAGGAGCAGGAGCAGCGGGAAGATGACGAGCAGGCAGTCGTCGTCGGAGGATGAAGAGGAACAAATGGAGAGAAGGAGGGATAGCAGGAAGAGACGGACGAGGAAGCAGTCCTCGTCGTAGGTGGAGCAGCGTGGGAAAATCCTGGAGAGGGGCCCTCTGGGCGAGCGTCGCGGCGCGCGAGAGCTGCCCCCGTGCCCCCACCGAATACCTGGGCGAGGAGGAGATCCTGCCTCCTTCTATTCCATCTTGCCCTCGCATCCTGTTTTTTTCCTTGTCCTCCTCCTCCACCTCCTCCTCCTCCTCCCCACTGTCCTCCTACACTCCTGCTCCCCCGCGTCCCTTGTCATGCCTCCTCCCTGGCGCTCCTCCCTTCTCCTCCCCACCCTGCTGCCGAGCGGGGAGCAGGGGCTGGCGAGGGGTTGTTCGTCCCAGCAGGCTGCAGTCTGCCTCTGCCGGGCCCGGTGCATTGAAGCCGCTGTCTGGAGGATCTGTGGAAGGGCAATCGGCGGAGATGGAATGCGTGAATGGAGGCGGAGGGCGCGGATGGGCGGACGGAGGACTGAGGATTGAGGATTGAGTGCAGGGATCGACGACGGAGGAGTAGGAGGAGGAGGAGGGGCAGGAGGAGGACCAGGGTAAGCCCAAGACGCATCAGCGATGCAGCAATAGGCCCCTCCCGTCGCGCAAGCCCCTGCCGAATAGTTCCCCTCAAACTCTCTGTGGCACCAGAAGGTGCGACCCGTCTAAAGGCCATCATCTCACGGGCTTGCCATTCAGGCGAGAACCCGCGTTCTGAACAAAAATGTTGTGCATCCTGCCAGCGCGTGGGAGTTAACGCAAGCACGCATCAGCGCACAGTTCAACCAGCTGTCCAGCGATCTCCCCGTTTCTCCCGTGCAGCTGTGGCACACATGCCGTGCAGTTGTTGCGCGGCGTCGTTCCTTCTGGTCATGAGCTTCGCCCTGGCATCGCTCGGACGTGTGCATCTTTCCTTCGGCGAGGACCATCGAGGAGCATCCTTGATCATTTGGCGAAAAAAACACGCACGAGACCGGAACAAAAACACAGGAAATTGACGTCCGAGCGATGGCGAGTCGCGGGCGTCTCGAGCGAGAGCTGCATTGGAGAAGGACCCGCCCTCCGTCCGTGCAGCTGCTGCGTGTGTTGAAGTTTATGGCTGCGGGAGTCAATGAGGTTTCCACCGAGAGCCCCGGTTTGAGAGAGTGGCCGTCCCCCCTATCCCTGTGGCTGTTGCAGGCTCGCAACAACAAGGATCGCGGTGGAACGGCGAGAGGCCGCTTTTGAAGCTGACTTGTGCTACATACCCGTAGCGATTGCAACGTTCAAGACGAATACACGCGATGCTAAGGCGAATCCATCCGTGCAATTGTTGCGAAGCTCTGGCTTCATGATAATACGTTGTGAGGAAATCAGGCGAGACGCTCCGCCCGCCCCAATTACCGACACGCAGGGGGGGGGGGCGACAGCGAGGAGTTGCTTTCTTTTCTAAGACACAGCTAGGCAGGGGGAAGACAGGACGACGAAGGCGAGGACAAAGGCAGGAAGAGGGGGAGGAGGACGACGACGGCGGGGAGTAATTGCGAGGACGGGGAGGGGGGTCTCTGCGGAGGAGCAGGAGGATGAGGACGAGGAGGAGGAAGAGGAGGCCCCTGCACTCCCTCGCCGCGCCCGTCGCTACCAATCGGGCGCAGGAGCTGGCCTCCTTCGCGACGCCCCGCAAGGACATTCCCAACGACACGCTCATAATATTCGACTGGGACCCGGCCGTGCGCCCGTCGTCGTCGTCTTCGAGGCAGGCTCGCAGGTCAATTTGATGTTTTTCGGGGGAGGCGTCACTGTGACCTCCAGCGTCAATCGTGACGGACGATTCTTTAATGTTTTTCGGCCTGGGGCCTGTTTCGGACCCCGGGGACATCAGAGAAGACATCGGGATGTCAAACCAACCCCGACGAAGAGGTCGAGGGCTCCACCCACGTCGCGTACAAGTCGCTCTGCCAAGTCGTTGTTTCGGAGGTTTTCTTCTCGCGGGGGCAGGATGGAGGAGGAGGGAGGTCAATCTGATGGTTTAGCATTAGACGAGATCTCCAGAAGGGACACAACTATTGTTTGCGGTTGCGCGTTGTTCCCGTCGTGCGAACCAAGGTAACGACACCGACCAGCACGAGGACTAAGAGCAGCAGCAGCAGCAGCAGCAGGAAGACGGGACGAGGAGGAAACTAATCCTACTCTTGGTGGCAAGGGCGGCGTTCCGAGAACCCGCGGTGCAGTCACAGTCCAACCCGCATGATAAGGATGAGCAATGTTCCAAGGTTGCCCTTGCATCCTTTCCCCTTCGGCCCATCCTTGGCCGCTTCCTTTGGCCGCGCCCCGCTCGCAAAGTGTCGGCGTGCCCGTCCAAGGCCCTACATCCTTCTGGTGCGCCCTTACTATGTGTAATCCCATTCCGGCTGACAAGGGCGACGTTCAGAGAGCCCGCGGTGCAGGCTATGCGATGCGAGGTGGAGCGCGGCACGTGTGGCGCTCGAGGGCCAGAGTCTCGATTGTGGCTCCTGAGCCATCGCCGCGCCCACAGTTCTGGCGGCGCAGAGTCAGTTTGTTCCCCGCTCGTGCAGGATGGTGGGCGTCAGCGATAGAGAAAGCACACCCCGCTGCTGCGCTGCCCGTTGCTGCCATCGGAGGTGTGGGCGCCCTCCCCCAAGAAAGATTGCCTCCAGGAGCCGTGGCCTTCAGTATGACACGAATTCAACGTCTCAGAGCAACCCGAGTCGAGCACGGCCTCGAAGCGAGTGCCTATTGAGACGCCCGAAAATAAAAGGTTTCCATGTCCCCGCGCACTCCCGCAGACGAAGCAATCTCCAGTCAATGCCCTTTCGGCTCGAGCGCTGTGCAATCGGTAACCGCGGCTTGTCCATGCAGCTACCCTGGAAACATCTTCGAATATCGATACTCCTGGCGAAGGCCTCCAGGGCCTCGTCGCCCATCGTAGAACAGTGTCGCATACGAAACCTGTGAGGCGAAGCCGCTGAGTCTTACTCGTGGGTCTCCGAGATATCCCTAATGATTTCGATGTTGGGCATCTCGAGGGGCTCGTCCTTATTTCTCAGGCTGCCCAGCTGGCTCCCTGATAGGTGTCGAACGCGTTCTGACAAGAGGCTTGGAGCTTGCCAGGCACAACGGCTGTGCTTTGTTGGGCGTTCGCTTGACTACTGTGATTTTACGTTACGGGCGGGGGGCAAGGAGGATGAGCAGGAGGAGATGGAGGAGGAGGAGGACTTGTCCGTTGTCTCGAGTTGGGTCTCGAGCAAATCGTTTCGCATGTCCACCAGAGGCAAGGCATACGTATGTTGTATGCACGGGTGGTTGAATCGACCTGGTCCAAAGACGTATCATGGGCCATGGTAGGTACATTCATCGATTTCGTTGGGGGAGGCTTCGGAGGAGCAGACCACATTACTCCGTGGAAGGCTCTAGGGCCTCTGCTACCCCCCGATCTCAGGACCTTTCCGCACTCTCTCCGGGCCCTCGCCCTCCCACCTCCCCGTTCGTCCTCATCCTGAGCCTCCTTCGCATCATGTCTCCCGCTCCTCCCCTTGGAGGCGGCGGGGAGGCCTCCTTGGGGCGGGCGCCCAACTGAGGGCCGAGGGAGCGCACACATGGTTTACAGTCGGGGCCCTGAAGAAGGAACCCTTTTGGGTTGGGGAGGGGCTCCGAGTTCCTTAAGTGTTTCACAGCTTGCCTCAGGTGTTCTTTATGTTTTCGATAGGAAACCTAAGTTTAACTTATGGGAAAAAAGGGCCTCGTTCCTCATTTGGGGTTCCTTAAGGTCAACGCCCCGACTGTAAGGCGCGTTGATCAGCGGCGGGTCACATTCCCATGCAGACTCGGCGCCAGCCGCCGCCACGCCGTGCGACATTGACCTCACGTGCCGTGGGGAATTGTGGCATCGCTCGGACGTGTGCATTTTTCCTTCGGCGAGGACCATCGAGGAGCATCCTTGATCATTTCGCGAAAAAACCACGCACGACACGGAACAACAACACGGGAAATGGACGTCCGAGCGATGGCCAGTTCTTGTGCTCACGCCGTCGATTTGTCGCCCGCCGATCGAATGCACGACGCACGTTTGATTGGTGCGTGCGGGGGCTGGGCAGTCCTCCGTCAAGGCTGCGCTGCCGATGCGTCGTCCGGGCGCCTGACCTCTCTGCCAGCCTGCCATGGGCCAGCGTGCGCCCGAACTTTGGGGCCCCGCCAGGACGACACGCTCTTGTGCAGCTCCGCCATCAACATGCAGCAGTGGTCTCAGCTCCAGCTCGACGTCCTGTGCAGGACGCACGCTGCTGTCCAACCCCATTGTTTGTTTCTCCTTTCCGTCCTCCTCCTCCTCCTCCTCCGCCTCCTCCTCCTCCTACTCGTCGCCTCCGCCGTTTTCTCTCTCGTCCGCATCCTGTTGCGCTCCTCCTCGTCGTGTTTCCCCGATCCTTACTCTCCCCTCCTCCTCCACATTTCCACCTCCTCCTGTTCCTCCCCCTCATCTACCTCGCCTCCTTTTCTCTCCTCGTCTCCTACCCTTCCTCCTGTCACTCTCCTCAGAGCGCTCGCTCGTCACCCCATCCCGCACCATCTGATTATATGCAGGACCTCTTCCTCTCCTCCTCATCGCCTCCCCCACTGCGTGCTAGGAGGCCTTGGGTGTTTGTCTTGGCTCTTCGGGTGCGTCTTGCGTTCCGCCCTTCGAGGCGGCCCCTCGGGGAGCCGTGGAGTCGCATCGGGGCCGAACAGAGCAGCGCTGGGGCGCAAAGCTACATGGGGCTGTGAAGTAGGTCGCGCACTGATTTGCAGCGATCTGTTGCGCTACCTGGGCGGCAGTACCGCAGCATCCTTGCATCTATTCAGGATGTCAGATTCCTCGCGAGCGCGGCTGGGCGATTGAACGCACATAGTGCGCTCCAGAAACATGCCATGGGCGCTGGCTAAGGATTTGGCCGCGGTCGGGGGGAACGCGCTGATTTCGGCCCGTCATGGGGCCCCCGAGGCGCGGCAAACGCTTGTGTTGCCCAGCGTCGCCATTGCGAACAATGCCGACTTCGAGAACGTATGCCCGCGTGCATGTTGATCACAGTGAGAGTCCCCATCCCAGACCCAATGCCACTTTTCTTCAGCGTCCACACCCTCGCTGTCAGTCATCCTCGTGCGTATCCTCGAACTCTCCTTCACCACAACGCATCATCCTACAGATCACCCTGCTGTCTTTCCCTTGTCATACTAATCCCACTCGCTCTCGCTCTTGGCGCCTGCACTCCCTGGGAGCTGGTCGTTACATCGTGCCTCGGGCGACGGCATGTCAGAGCCATTCAGGCGGGTTCAGTATAGACGTGGTTCAGAACGTTCGTCACCAACGGCAAGATTGACACCCTTCCCAGAGGAACCAACAATGAATAGCCAACCCCATGAACAACATATTGCGTTTTCTTTGGACTTGTTTTCGCGCTCTTGTTATCTCAATATCCAGATGCCTTCGGCACGTCCCGCCACCGTGCCAGCCCAGGTTTCTGGGTGGCGACTGTTCGAGGGGGCACGGACGGCCGTCACGTGTGACATCTCGTGTCTCCAGGCTTGGGAGGGTCGTGATGAGGATGCTGAGCATTATGAGGAAGATAGGGGGTGATAATGATGATGATGGTGGTGATGATGATGGTGAGTGTGGTAATGCTGATGCTGGTGATGATGTTCAGGCTGATGCTGCTGGTGAGGAGGGTGAGGATGATGATGAGGACGAGGATGTTGGTGCTGTTGCTGATGATTATCATGATGGCGACGACGATGGTACGCATGATAATGATGATGGTGGCGCTGATGCTGATGATGATATGATGATGGCGGTGATGGCGATCATGATTGTGATGATGGTGGTGATGCTGGTAATGACGTTGTTGATGATGACGATGGCGATGACGATGACGACGGTCATGATGACGTTGATCACGATGACGATGATGATGATGATGATGATGATGATGATGATGATGGTGCTCATGATGACTTTAATGATGTTCATGATGGTGAGGGTGATGGTGATGGTGAGTGTGGTGATGCTGATGCTGATGATGATGCTCGTGCTGATGACGATGAGGGTGAGGGTGAAGATGATGATGCGGACGAGGATGCTGGTGGCGGCGGCGCTGCTGCTGATGATGATGCCGATCATGATGGCGATGCTGGTGATGATGCTGACGATGCTGCTGATGATGAGGATACTGATGATGATGATGATGCTGATGGCGCTGATGACGCTGATGATGGGGAGGAGGAAGAGAAGGAGGAGGACGAGGAGGATGGGGATGCGGATGATGAGGATAGTGAAGAAAACAATGATGACGACGACGATGATTGCGATGCTGATGGCGATGATGATGGTGATAACGTTGATGATGCTGATGCTGCTGATCATGAGGATGATGGCGATGGCGATGATGATGATGCTGCTGATGATGATGAGGCGGAGGACGATGGCGATGCTGTTGTTGGTGATTCTGATGATGGTGGTGGTGATGTGATGGATGAGGATGACGGCGACGATGATGTCGACGCTGACGATGACGACGACGATGATGATGACGATGGTGGCGAGGGTGATGATGATGATGATGCTGATGATGATGATGATGATGATGCTGATGACGATGATGGTGATGGTGATAGTAATGGTGATGACAACGACCATGCTGATGATGACGATGATGATGCTGATGTTGATGCTGGAGATGCTGATGCTGATGATGATTCGGATGAGGATGAGGCTGCTGACGGCGATGATAGTGATGATGGCGTTGCTGATGTTGATGATGATGGTAATGGTGATGCTGATAATGGCGATGATGATGTTCATGAGGATGATGATGATGATGCTGATGATGATGATGCTGATGCTGATGCTGATGCTGATGCTGATGATTTCGAATATGATTATGATGATGGTGATGCTGATGGTGTTGCTGATGATGCTGATGGTGTTGCTGATGATGATGCTGCTGATGATGATGCTGGTGAAAGGAGGAGGATGAGGAGGAAGAGGAGGAGGAGGAGGAGGAGAATGAGGAAGTGGAGCAGGAGGAGGAGGAGGAGGAGGAGGACGAGGAGGAGGGGAAGAGGATGAGAAAAACGAGCAGGAGGAAGTTCGTTTGGGCCGTCTTGGGGCTGTCTTGGCCTCCAGTGAGGCAGTCTCGGGAGTTCCTTGGCGCCGTCTTGGTCCGCCTTTCGGCCCTCGTACGCCCGACTGGGGCTCTCCTGGGCAGTCTTGGGCCGTCTGTGCCGTATGGTGGGTGTCGGGGGGACCTTTGTGGGCCCGTCTTGGCGCCGTCTTGGGCCGTCGACGGGCTTTCTGAGGCCATCGAGGATCCCACCGGAGGTCCTCGTGGGTCATCGTTGGGCCGTGTTGGATGCCTCTGGGGCCTTCGTGGAGTCCTCTTGGTCCGTCCTGAGCTGATGGCAACCCGAACAGGCGAGAATGCGAACATCCTTCAAGCGCCCAAGGGGCATCAGTGTTTTTGGTTTCTTCAGGCCCTGTTGGATGTCCTCTTGTAGCCATTCTTCACCCTCTTGGAGGCATCTTGGGCCGTCTTGAATCACGATTCGGTCGCCCTGAGGCTATCATGGGTCGTCTTCGAGGCGCGTTGGGCCATCTTGGTGTCTTTGGTTGCCGGCACGGGCTGGTCTGGAAGCTCGTGACGCATATCCATCGTTTCGAACAAGGGTTCGTTGCTTGGGAGGCCCTGGAGCGATTGGGGGCAGCGTCTGGGAATGCGGGAAGTGCACGATCTTCGAGCGGGTGCGCGTGGGAGCAGCCATGTGGGAAGTGCGCAATCCTCGAGCAGGCGCGCGTGAAATGAGGGTTCAGGCATTGGCAGCTATGCGGGAAGTGCACCATCCGCGAGCGGGCACGAGGGAAGTGGCCTCGGTGAGTAAGGTGGGGGGGGCATCCCACAGTCTGCGAGTAGAGGGAGGGGCGGCCCCTTAGCGGATGCCAAAAACCATGCCAGGTAGCCAGGGGGCACGGAGGCGGATTCCTACTCATGTCATGGGTTGTACGCGGTAGGACAGGAGGAGGAGGAGGAGGAGGAGGAGGAGGAGGAGGAAGGAGGAGGAGTGGGAGGAGGAGGAGGAGGAGGAGGAGGAGGAGGAGGAGGAGGAGGAGGAGGAGGAGGAGGAGGAGGGGAATGAGGGGCATCGGCAGGAATCCTGCGCATCGGACCTGCCATGTAGCAACACGCGTGGCTACAACTCACCAGCTGTACGTGTTCCTGGGTCTCGTCGTCTTCTAAGGCCATCGTTGGCGACTGTTGGATTGCAGCGGACGGATGAATCATGGAACCTTTCCGATTTTAGATATCCTCTCCTTTCTATGTTTGTTTTGGCATGCTTACGCATCTTTGCCGAGCTCACTGTGATTCTCGTACTGTCCCTCGCAGCTCGTGTCTTCTTCGCAATTCAATTGCGACCTCCCGTCCTCCTTGTCCTGGCAGTCGTGCTCCCTTTCCTCTTCTCTCTCATCCAGCCGTTCTTCCTCCTCCTCAGACTGTTGTGAGATGGGCCATGGGGCAGATACTCCCTTCGTGACCTGTTCGTCACGCCGCAGGCCTGGGTCCTACTCCTCGCCCTCCTGCGCCGATTTTGATCCCACGAGGACCGTGGAGACCACGCTTCGCGCGGCCATGGAGCTCGGTGAGGTGATGATCGTGACCAACGGCGTGGACTGGTGGGTGGAGGACGCCGAGCACGCACCCGCTTCAGACCAGGAGGAGGAGGAGGAGGAGGAGGAGGAGGAGGAGGAGGCTGCGCTGCGCTACTCCCAATCAGCACGGAGGCCGTGGCAATCCAATCTGGAATTGGGGTTGATGATTCTAGGTCCCTGCCCCGGCAGCCGGGAAGCCAGGCCATCGCCGTGCAGGGACTGCTCCCCGCGCAGGAGCAGCAAGGGGGGGGGGACAGGACCGATGGGATCCAGTCCTCCCAAATTCAGAGGCCAAACATGGACCCACGCCACCGATACTCCATCGGTGAGGGACCGGCCCCTGGGCGGTGGCACGCCTGAGCGTCATCTTGTATTCGGGTGACGCTCGGGCGTGCCGCCGCCCAGGGGTCTGCCCCCAACCCACTGATGGGTTCTCGGTGATGGTAGTCCGTGCTTCTCGTCCGGCAAGTAGGGTCCGAGTAGACTGGGTTCGAGGATCGCGCCGCGTTGCCGATGTATCGGCGATGCGGCTCGATGTGGACCCCGATGTTCTCCATCCTGATGTCGCCGATGCAGCCGACATCGCCGATGCATTACCGATGCGACGCCGATGAATCGGCGATGCGGAGCGATCCTCCGACCTCATGTTCTCGGACCCCATGTGGGAGGCCTCTAAAGGAGGGGGAGCACGGAAGAGGAACAAACCCTCAAATCTTGTCTTCGGGGGCCTTCGCGAACGAGGCCCCGCAACGACACGCACCGTTTCGTTCTGTTCGCCTCTACAGCGCTCGCCAGCGATGGCAGGCCGCGAAGGGCCAGCAAGCGCACGACAAATATTGTCATTTCGGACAAGATACGTGGTCGAGTTGCTGCACTGGGAAGTCCCTCTGTTCGTTGCTGTGGATGTTCTCTGCCAGCGAATGCTTCCAAAATACGTTTCCTACGATGGCCGCTAAGCTTGCGCACCCGACAACTCGCGTCAACGTCATCCTCTGCACTGCGTCTAGCTTGCCGAGATAGTTTCGGGTAAGAGGCGTCGTGGTAAGACTGTAAGGATCTGACGGCGTCATCACACGGCCCCGAAAAGATGCAACCGTAGTATGATCTGACTGTTGAGATGTTTGCAGCGTCGCTGCAAAGTGGCGGCAAGCATGCCACGTTATGTTGCCGGACGTGCCCAGGGATCCTCAGGTTGTCCGCGTGGTCGGTCCTCGGGGCGCCCCCAGCAAAACTTGGAGACGCAGCTGGGGCCCCAGCGGCCCCGCGTCCGCCCCACCCCGGGGCGGCCTCGCAGCGGCTGCACGCTGTGCACCAGGTCGTCCTCTGAGGGCGCATCGGACCTCCGGGAGGTTCGGCCTCTAGGACGCGTTAGCTCACAGTCGGGGCGCTGAAAAAGGAACCCTTCTCGTTGGGGAGGGGCTCCGTGTTCCCTAGCTGTTTCGCAGTTTGCCTTAGGTTTTCCTTAGGTTTTCCATGGGAAATCGAAGTTCAATGTGTGGAGAAAAGGGGCATCGTTCCTTATTTAGGGGTCCTTAGGTCAACGCCCCGACTGTAATAACGCCGCACCGCCCACCCCTTGGGAGCCCCGGATTCTTATCCTCCAGGGGGCGCTGTCGCAGAGGCGTCGTGGCGCCGCGCGCCCACCTGGGAAACCCAAAACCACGCTCAAAAGGAGCCCTGTTTGCTCGTTTGGGGGCCTCTTGGGAGCCATTGGGGGCCTCTCGGGAGCCTCTGGGGGCCCCTTGGGGCTCTTTTGGGGGCACGCTGGGGGTCTTGGGTGCCATCTTGTGGGAAAGGGTCCCCCAGGCCCCCTCGAGCTCCCCCGCTTGCAGAGTTTCATTGCCATACATGTCCACTAGGGCCCCCGATGATTCCGCCAGGGCCGTTGGTTGTGACCCGCCCAGGAAACCTTCAGGCGCCCTCGTTGCGATGTCGTACGCCTGTGATGTCGTACTGGCTTCGAGTGGATTTGGGGTCCAGCGCGGCGCGAGGGTGCTGGCCTTCTAAGAAGGCGGGGGACCTCTGAGAAGGGGTCGTATGCTTTCAAGAAGGCCCATCAGAAGGCGCCCACCCTCTCGCGCCGCTCCCCCCCACGTCCCCGCTGTGACCGCCGCTGGGTTATCGAGGATGCCGTGGTCGACATCTTGGCGGAACGCTTTGGCGGCCTCTGCCAGATCTCTTCGGGGGTGCCCAGGCGGGGTCCCAGCCGTGACCCTTCTCTTGGCATCGCTCGGACGTGTGCATTTTTCTTTCGGCGAGGACCATCGAGGAGCATCCTTGATCATTTCGCGAAAGAACCACGCACGAAACCCAAAAAACACAGGAAATAGACGTCCGAGCGATGGCCAGTTCTCCGACCCCTCCTGCACCTCTTTCCGCGCGCGCGCCCGGCCGCGTCGTGACCGCGTCGCCTGCCCCGCCTGACCCCGCCCCAGGCGGGCCTCGGCGGCGCGGGCTCACGCAATCGGGGAGGTGGACGGAGGGGGGAGGAAGGACGCAGGAGGAGGAGGAGGAGGAGGAGGAGGAGGAGGAGGAGGAGGAGGAAATAGGCATGAGGAGAAGCGTGGGGAGAAGGGGGGAGGAAGGGCGTAGGAGAAGGGTGCGAATGGGGGAGCTCGATGAGCACACCGAGAAGCCCTCCCCCATCTTTCTGGGGCGCACCGGCTCTTTGGCAGCCCTCCCAGAAGCTGACCGCTGTGTCTTCTCCCCCAGGCTGGTCCTGCGCTCAGCGGAGGTCCGTTCGCCGTCGTCTGCGTCGCCTGCTCCGTCGGCCTCCTCCACCCGCCTTCCTGTTTCCCTCCTCCCCCGTCCGCCCTCGTTGTTACCCAAATCATCCCCACTCATCCATCCTTCCCTTGTCCACTTTCTGCCCTCCCCTCTGGTCCCCCTCCCTACCCAAATCATCCCCCCTCCTCCCTCCTGCCCTCCGCCCTCGTCCTCCCTACTCCCTCGTTTTTCCTCCTCCTCATTCCTCCTCATCCCTCCTCATCCCTGCTCCCTCCTCCTCCATCCTCCTCCTCCTCCTCCTCCTCCTCCTCCTCCTCCTCCTCCTCCTCCTCCTCCTCCCCTTCCCTCCCTCCCTCCCTCCCTCCCTCCCTCCCCCCTCTCCTCCCGTTCCCCTCTCCTCCCTGCAGGCCAAACTGTTCCTTTCCCTCCTTTCAGGTTTCCCATCCGGTGGATCGCGGACGGCGTCGCTGTTCGCCAGCGTGGACACGCGAACTCCATGGTTCCGTCAGGCTCCGTGGCAGTCGTGTTGCCTCTGGGCGCCCCAGGGGGTAGCCTAGCCACCCACGGTGCGGACAGGCTCCGTGGGCGCGCGCGTGGCTGACGGGGCCTCGCCAACACAGGGCCACGCGCCGTGGTCCCGCTTGGGTTCCACGTCGCTCATGCGGCCGTTTTCGGCCCCCACCACCTTTTCATGTTCTGCCGTTTGGGCTTCAGAGGGGGCCGAGGACTCCTGGGTGGACCCTCGGCCAACGAAGACGTCCATAAAGGAGGGCCCAAACGCACACCCAACTTTTTAGCATCGTAACCCGATGCGCCGGTCAACCAATTCCGCATCTTCCTCCATCGGGCTGTGAGCGGGATTCATCCCCTGCCGGCTGACGGTGCCTGTCAATGTCAGTAAACCGTGACATTCTGGCGTCATCTGCCAGCCACATCGGTACACCAGTGGTCGCCCAGCTTCGTCCGTGCCATGGGTGGCCCGTCAGGCCTCCATGCCACTCATGTGGCGCTGCTGTGCCTCCCAAGCCTCCGGGGAGCATACCCTGCCCACGCCACGGCCCCGTCAGGCTCCATGTGGTCTGACGGCAGGTCGTGCCCCCGCCCTCCCAGGCACCGGTCCAGCCAGGCTCCCCAGACCCCCGACGTAATGTTTTTTTCATTACGTCGACCCCCGGAGGTCCCGACCTTTGCCCCATGACCGGCTTTGCATCCTGAGTCGTTTTGTTGACGCTCCCGAGGCCTGGTGAGGGCCCCCAGAGGCCGAAAATTCAGAAGAACCTCCCGTCATGATTTGTTCATTGCTCGAGGGGGTCTGGGTCCGTTGCACGGGGATGGGTCACGGCCCCCACCATCTTCTGCAGGTCGGGCCGCAGCCGGTGGCGGGCCAACGGATGTCAGGAGTGAAAAACACACAGACACAATTAATCGTCGATTCCCCAGAAAATATAAGAAAATATGGGAAGTGGGGGGAAGACAAGAAACCCCAAAAAGATGGGAAACTATGGGAAATCATTTCATTTGTGTGTATTTATTTGTGTGTCCTGGGGCCCCTTCAGGAGGAGCGGCCGAAGCCATATGGTGGCGCACTCGCCTGGCGGAAACTGCGGCGGTGGGCGCGCGGGCGGCCGCGGAAGCAGAGCACTTGGCCTCTTCTCTCAGGAGGGGAAAGAACACACAGACACAATGAATCGTCGATCCCCAGGAAAATACAGGGAAACTATGGGAAGTGGGGGGGAAGACAGAAACCCCGAACATATGGAAACATATGGGGCACATTTTGATTCTTGTGTATCTATCTGTGTGTCCTGGGGCCCCTTCAGTGGCGGGCGCGCGGACGGCCGTGGAAGCAAAGCGCCTGGCCTGTTCTTCCGCTCCCCCTCTGCAGGTCTTTCCTGTTGGATGCCGGTGGTCGATCGGCGGTTGGGCGGCGGGCGCCGGCGTCCTCTCCTGGCGATCGGCGGCGGCAGGCTCGTGAAAGAATATGACAGTAGAGCGCCCTTTCGTTTTGCGTTTGCTTTCGGGTGTATCCCTTGTCCTCGCCGTCTCCCTAGGGTCTTTACTGGCGCATCCAAGGCGGCCTCTTCATGTGCCCCATCGACCCCTTCTTTCCCCCGCTTGCGCGTCCCTCTCCCCCCTCCGCTCGGCGAGTCCCGCCCGCTCTCCTCTCTCCCTTCTCCCCTCTCCCCTCTCCTCCTCGTGTCCCCCTCTCCTCTTCCCTCGGGGCCACTCGGACCGCCGAAACGTCCTCCCCCTCTCCTCCTGCCCCCCTCCCCTCCCTTCGGGGGTCAACTTGTTCCTTTCCTCCTTTTCAGGTTTCCCGTCATCAGGGTTCCCATGTACGTACAGGACTTGGTTGGACCGCGGGCGGCGTCGATGCTCGCCGGCGTGGACACGCGAATTCCATGGGTTCCGTCAGGCTCGGTGGCAGTGGCGTGTTCACTGGGCTGCCCTAGCCACCCACGGTTCGGACAGGCTCCGTGGGTGCGCGCGGTGCTAACGGGGCCCCACCAACACGATGCCGACACGCGCCGTGGTAGGCTCCACGCCGCTCATGCGGCCGTTTGGGTCCCCGCGCGGCCGCCTGGCCAGCGGCCTGGGCCTTGCGGTCCCACCGCCAGGCGCCTCCGCGCGGGCTGCCGCCTTGGCCGCCGCGGGCTGCCGCCGCCGCCGCCAGCCGCGCGCCTCAGCCGCCGCCGTGCGAGCCGCCACCCGCCGCCCTCCCCGGCGGCGCCTGCAGCCGCGAGTGCCCGGCGCCTTGCGCGGCGCCCGCACCCCCAGTGTCGTCGCAGCTAACGCCCCAGCAGCCCGTCTTGCGCCCCCGCGCCGCCTGGGGCCTCGGCCGGTTTGCCCGGCGGCCCGGCAGCTCGGCGCCGCCCAGCGCCTCGCTGGCCCCCCCGGCGGCCGCGGCCGGCAGCCTGGGCCGGCGACCGCCACGGCCGCGGCCAGTGCCCAGCGGCGCCCAGCAGCATCGCGGCCGTGCCACGCGCCACCGCGACGACCAATCGCTGCCGCACGTCGGCCAGCGTGCCCGCGCGGTATGCGCCTGGCGCGTGGGCGCGGGGAGACCCTGCAGTTCCGCGCCCATGCGGCCGCCAGCCTCGACGAAGGCGGCGCAAAGACCAGGGCCAGGCGGCCACGATAGCGGGCGTCTTTCTCCCGTTCCCGCTCTCGCGCCGCGAGGCCAGCCGTCGCGGTTCGCCGGCGTCTTTCAGGGCCCGCCGCGGGCGCCAAGGCCTCAGCGCTGCTCGCGTCGCAACGCGCCCGCCCACTGGGGTAATTACGCCAGCACCGCGTCCACGACGGCATGTTGGATGCCCTCGTCCGCGCGCCGGTCCCAGGTGGGGATGCGTTGCTCGAAGCTGACCGCGTTCTGGCCGTAGCGCTCGGCGAACCACTCGCCCAGCGCGTCCCGCGTGCCGTCGTGGCGGCGCACGAACCCAGGTCCCACGGGGCGAGCGGCTCGTGCGTAGAGGCCCCGCATTGCACCGTAGTGCCGCGGGCAGTGTTGCAGCAAGGTCTGCCGCCAGCGCCGGCTGGGTCCTCGTAGAGCAGCCGCCGGCGCAGGGTCACGGCGAACTCGTCGTTGCCGAGCAGGTGTTGCGCCCGCGTGGGCGGTTCGAGTGCCGCGGCACCCGTCCCGCCGTGGGAGTATAAGTTAAGGCTCGGAGAGGCAGTCGAGGAGCCAGCGGTGCTGGCGGTCCACCACTTGGCGGGAGTAAAGGTTCAATTTCTGCTTGACCACGCGCAGGGACTCTTAGGGCACCCAGGCGCCGTCGGCGCGAAGCCTCGCCTTGGTCTCGGACACCGCGGCCGTAAGCTTGGGCGTTGCCTGCCCCGCCCTCACGGCGGCCTGAACGGCGCACCACGGGCCCAGCCGCGCCGCGTCGGCGCGGTGTTCGGCAGACCCGAAGCCAGCGTCCCCTTGCTTGGCGGGCAGGAAGAGCACCTCCCAGCCGTTTGCAGTGAGTCCCGGCCCCGCCAAGCGCTCGATCTGCCCGACCACTTCGACGACAAAGGAACGCCATCGGCCGCGCGGTGCCAGCCTGGCTCGCTGCAGGTGCGTTACAGCGCCGTTGACGCTGGTGCGGAACAGCGTGAGGCAGTGTTGCTTTTCCAGGCCAGCCGCCTCCAGGTCCTCCAGCGCGTCGCCGAAAGCAGCCAGCCGCGGGGCCGCGGCAGCCGGAAAGGTCTAGTCGAGAACCTTTGCGTGGGTGTCGCGCCTACCGTCGTCGTCCTCGTCTGGGCGGGCTCTGACGAAGCTCACTGTGCTGCCCAGACACGGGAGGGCGTTGGCGACCCACGCCCCGGCGCCGTTCGGCAGCGAGGCGACGCGGCCGTCTGGGCAGTGCACTTAGGTCTTGGCGACGTTGAGTTCTAACCCAACTTGTGACAAGAGCGTCGCGGCCATCGCCAAGGCCTGGTGTAGTAAAGCCTTCGGCACAGTAAAGTAGGCGTCGTCAAGGTAAGCCCACACCTTGCAGCGCGGGTCCTGAGTCTGCAAGTGGTCCCCGAAAGAGCAGAGCTCGGAGCCGATACCGTTGCTGAAAAGCGCCGGGCTGTGCGGGCACCCCTGGTCGAGGCCCTCCTGCTGTTCGGCCTTGCGAGAGGCCACGCCCGCGCCGGCGGCCGCGCGGACCGTGACCCGACCGTACCAGTGCGCCACCAACCATCCGAGTTCGGGGTGCTGCCGCACCCAGCGGGGTACAGCCCGGCGCCGGATACGTTCGAGGGCGCGATCCAGCGAGACGAACGCCATGTCTGGAGACTGCTTCGCCTCCGCCGAGACGCTCTTGCGCAGCATCTCCAACCCGGCGGGGACCCCAATGCCGTACTGCAGCTCGGAGACGGCCGTCTTGATGTTATCAAATCGGAGCGCGTTCACGGCCCTGGCCACCATGCGGCGAGCTATGGCCCCGCATGCCAACACCCTGGTGCCTCCGCTTTTTTTGCCCAGCCCTGGAGTCTGCCCGCGAGCACCAAATCCAGAGCTTCCGGCAGCACGTCCCCGCCTACGAGGTGGGAGAGCACCTAGGCAGTGGCCGCTTCCTGCGACTCTGTGTGCGCAAGGGGGCGCCAGTGTTCGTACGTGTCGCCTTGCACTCCTGCCCCTGGGCGTCTTCGCTTACATGTTGGCCACGTACGCTTTGACGTCGTCCTGGAGCAGCGCGGCCGCCGCGAGGCCGTATTGCTCAGCAGCGTCCAGGGGGGGATGTTGTTGCGTCAAGGCCCGCAACGTGTCTTCCCTCCCTCCCTCCCTCCCCCCCTCCCTTCCTCAGGAGGGGAAACACACACAGACACAATGAATCGTCGATTCCAAGGAAAATGTGGAAAAATACGGGAAGTGGGGGGGAATACAAAAACCAAGAAAATATGGGGGATCCTTTTATTTGTGTGTATTCATTTGTGTGTCCCAGGGCCCCTTTACTTCCTCCTCCCCGAACCCGCGTTCCGCCCGGCGCGCGCGTGCCAGGACAGCTGCCGGCGCTTCCTGCCTGGCCTCCTGCCCCTGCTCGGCAAGCTCCACGTGAAGTCCGCGCGGCACGACTACGAACGCATCTACCCAGGCACCTCGCGAGGAGAAGGAGGCGGAGGAGGAGGACGAGGAAGAGAAACATAAGGAGGAGGAGGATGATGATGATGAGGAGGAGGAGGAGGCGGAGGAGGAGGAGGAGGAGGAGGAGGAGGAGGAAGGAGGCGGAGGAGAAGGAGGAAGAGGAGGAGGAGGAGGAGGAGGAGGAAGAGGAGGAGCAGGAGCAGGAGGCGGAGGAGGAGGCTACAGGTTCCACGCGGTGCCGTCCGCGCCCCCAGGTACTATAGTGGAGTCTATAGAAGGCTACAGATTCCACGCTGATGCGGTTGCGCTACAAGGTATCGACGTCTATCGACCTTGTTGTTTTAACCTCTGGCGCGTTACGGTCGTCACCCAGCCACCCACCCCCAGGTAACGGTAACGATCGTACATAATTATGGAGGGTGGCTGGCCTGGACCCACCCCCACGTGCTGGTGCTCGCGCGCATACTATCGATCGCAGCGCCCCCTTCTCCTCCCGGCGTTCTCCAGCCTGTCCAATCGTTGCCGGTACCCGCCGTTCTCCAGCCTGTTTGCCTTCGCCTCGGGTAGCGACTGTTCCGGAAATGATGGAACAACCATTTCAGATGATGATGGTAATGATGATAATGATGATGATGAGGAGGAGGAGGAATAGGATGAGGAGGAGGAGGAGGAAGAGGAGGAGGAGGAGGAGGAGGAGGAGGAGGAGGAGAGGGAGGCCGAGGAGGCCGAGGCTACAGGTTCCACACTTTGTTTACCTGCGCATCCAGTTATCGGAGTATGCAGGTCTTGGTCGCAGCACCCCCTCCCCCCTGCAAGCGGCCCTCGCTTGAAATGTTCATTCCTGGGGGTGGGGGATTGCGCTGATCCCCGATCACAGAGCGCGGCAGGCCGGACACGCGGCACGCCAGCGGAGGAGAAGTCGAAGACGAGAAACAAACGTACATGTTCTGAGGTACGCGCCGATCTCTTGGGTCGGCTCCTTGCCCAAGAAATCCGTTCGGACCCCTCGATGATATATGTTTGTATAGCGCTTCCCTCAACAGACTGTCTGCCAGGCTTCTCTTTAACTTCTTTAAGCAATTATCCCCAGTGCGACCCTACCTAGGTGTTGGAGCCTCTAGGAAAGCAACATTAGCAGCAGCAATAGTGGATGCTGTGCTGCGCTATGCTCTGCTATGCTCTGCTCTGCTGTGCTGTGCTGTGCTATGCTATGCTATGCTATGCTGCGCAATGCTATGCTGGGCTAGGCTAGGCTAGGCTATGCTATGCTGTGCTATGCTATGCTGCGCTGTGCTATGCTTAGCAATGTTAGGCTATGCTATGCTATGCTGCGCTATGCTATGCTGTGCTGAGCTATGCTCTGCTATGCTTGGCTATGCTATGCTATGCTATGCTGTGCTAATGCTGTGCTAAGCTAAGCTAAGCTAAGCTAAGGTAAGCAAACTTATGCTAAGCTAAGCTAAGCTAAGCTAGGCCAGGTTAAGCTAAGCTAAGCTAAGCTAAAGCAAACTAAGCTAAGCTAAGCTAAGCTAAGCTGAGACAAGCTAAGCGAAGCTAAGCCAGGCCAGGCTAGGCAAAGCTAAGCTAAGCTACGCCAAGCTAAGCCAAGCTAAGCTAAGCTAGTATGATATAAGCTAAGTTAAGCTAAGCTAAGTCAGGCTAGGCAAAGCTAAGCTAAGCTAAGATGAGATAGGCTAAGCTAAGCTGGGTGAACCCAGGGGGCGCAACTGGGGGAACCGCCGGGCGGATGCCGGGGGAACCGCCCGGGGCGGGCCCTACTGCCCGGCCCTTTAAGCTTCTGAGTAAGAACCCTTCTAGGCAGAGCCTAGTCAGGGAACTAGTAGGTGCGCCTCCGAATATGGAAACGGGCGGGCGACGCGGCGCAATCCTTCAACCCCATCTACTCGAACCCCACCTTGCAGGTCTCCAGGATCAGGGCTCTCGGGCCAGGGGCATGAGTCACGCAGCGATGGTCGGCCAGGCCCCTCTGGCTGACCCTGGCCTGGGAGCCGTGTGGGGTCGATGCCCACTCCCTCCTCGGACCAAGGTTTTGCTTCTTAGGCCAAAAACATTCAGGAGAGGAAAAACCACACAGACACAACAGGAAAATATGGGAAGTGGGGGGGAAGACAGAAACCCAGAACATATGGGAACATATGGGGAATATTTTTATGTGTATGTATTTATTTGTGTGTCCTGGGGCCCCTTCAAACATGCGTTTTCTCATCCGCGGCCTCACTGGCCGGGCCCCTGGGCCGTGACCCTGCGGATCTGTCCCGGGCCAGCTCTGAGCCAGGCCAGCGCGTCCCCGAGAGGAGGATGACCCAGGCTTTCTCGGGGGCGGAAAAGAGAGGGGTGATGACTAGGTGGGGGGGGGGACGGATATCATGGCGTGGGCCATGATATCTCCCCAGATCTCATGGCGCATCTTCTTATTTCATTACGTCCCTGGCCCCCTCGCTGGGCCGTGCACATGCCGCCGGTCATGATTTGCACCCCCCCCTCTTGGACACCCCCCTCTTGGCCGCTCCCGATAGCGCGTCCCCGAGAAGAGCAGGACCCAGACCTTCTTTGGATATGGCAGAAGCTTGCGGTACGTTTTGGCAGTTTTCGGCCTTTGGGGTCCGTCCCCTGGCCCGGGGTGAAGAAGTATCCCTGGGGAAAGGGTTGAGACTTTTGGGGGTTCCCGTATTGGAGCATCACGACGTCGTGGGGGATGGGGAGGAGGAGCTCTAAGACCCGGGCGTGGCAGAAAGCGGTGACGATCGATTTCCCATGCTTTTAGCTCCTCGAGGGGCTGCCAGGCGAGCGCGAACTAGTACTGCTAAATGTTATGATCCTCGTGTTAGGGATTATAGCAGGTCTTTTGCCAGTTCGACAGCGAATTGTTTGAATCCATCTTTCCCCCATCCTCCAAATCCACTTGCTAATAATGATTGTGTTGTGTACCTTCTCCTGCTCCTCCTTCTTCTGCTCCTCCTGCGCCGTCTCCTTCTCGTCCTCTTGCGGCCGACCTTCCTGAATTTTCCTCCTCCTCTTCCTCCTTCACATGGTGCCGTTCGCTGCTGCTGCTCTTTCTCTTCCTCCTCCTTTCCCTCCTCCCGCCTATCTTCATCCCCGGTTTCATCTTGTCCCCTGATCTTCCATCACTTTCCCCATTCCGTCCTCCCTCCTGGTCCTCCTCATCTCCGCATCCTTATTCCGCATCCTCCCCTTACTCGCCTTGCTCTCACATCTCCCGTCGTCCGTTTTCCCCTCTCCTCGTCTGCTTTATCCTCCGCATCCCCCTCTTCCTTTGGAGTCATCCTCTTCCTGCACCCTTCCTCCTTCCACCACCTTCCCCTCCTCATTCCTCTTCCTCCACCTCCTCCAGACATCGAATTGGGTCGTACTAGTGCTGCTATTGCCACCCAGCCCGTGTGATTCCCCTTGTGCAGGCGACCCGTTTGCTTGGAAGCGCGAGTGCTTCAAGGACGGGCGAGGGATTGGGGGGAGGATGGGAGGAGGAGGAGGAGGAGGAGGAGGAGGAGGACCAGTGTAAACCCAAGATCAACGATATTGCAGAATGAATCCTGGTCCCTCTCCATGGGTCCAAAACAAGAGCTGGTGTTCAATGTGGGGAGTTGCCCATCAGAAGACAAGCGTGTCGCAATCCTCGAGCGTGCCAGCACAACATGTATGGGCATTTCGCGCCGCAGGTTTATGTTTTAATTGGAGTGTTGCGCGCTGACAATCCTAAGCCGTGCCAGGCAACCTTCCCTGAGACTTCCACACCACGAGCCAACGTGACTGCATCGTCATGACAGGCCTAAATCGTGCCAGAACGCCATCCCTGGAAGTGAAACTTCACGAATCCTTCAAACATTAGCAACCGCCCAACGAAAGTGCACGGCGCTGAGGCGAGAGCCATGGAGGGGGAGGAGGAAGAGGAGGAGGAGGAGGAGGAGGAGGAGGACAATGAGGAGGAGGAGGAGGAGGAGGAGGACAGCAAGGACGAGAGCTCTTTGAGCCATCTTGGGGTGATGCACTCGTGGGGTCCGCGTGGGGTTTGCTTTGAGGTCTCTAGGTGCCCTCGTGGGGCTCCTTTGGATTGTCCTGGGGTCCCCGTGGTGCTCGTTTCACATGTTTTGGGGCCACACTTGGGCTCTTTTGGGGACGGCTTGGAATCCCTGCAAGGCCTCCGTGGGTCATCGTTTAGGGCGTCCGTCAAAGGGGGGAGTTTCCCCCTTCCCCCCCCTCCTCGGCCCCCCAAAGCCCTCCTCTCGGGGTTCTCTTCGGGCTCTCTTGAGGCGATGTTGAGCGCTCTTGGGGTCGCCGTGGAAGGCCCGTCAGGTCCATCGTGGAACTGTCTTCTGCCACCATGGGCCCACATTGATGCTTCAGAAACGCATCGGACGCCAAGCGGCGAGAAGGCAGCACTCATATATTGCGATCCTGCTGTTGCAGGATTTTGGCCCATTGGAAGGGTGCTGAGGGGGTTCCGAGAGCATTGGGAATCTTCTAGTGGCCCTCATCGCGCCTCATGGGTGGTGTGTCGGGAGCTATATTGGACCATCTTCTGCTATTTCGGACCGCCTTGGATGCCACCTTGGAGGATTGGAGGCCTTGCTGCAGCCGTCTTGGGCCATCTTGGGCACCCTGGCCGTTCGCACCCTTCAACAGCAACAAATCAGGGAGGGGAGGGGGAGGGTGTCCCTTCCCGAAGGGAAGAGGGGTCCTCTTGGGGTTGTGTTTTGGGGGCCCAAGGTGGGGCTCTTTGAACATAGATTTGGGCCCTCTTGGAGGCCCTGCAGGCCTCTTTGGGCCCTTTGTAGGGGGTCGATCAACCGAGGGGGGGGGATCTGCCTTCCCTTCTGGGCCCTTTAGGATGGCCTTCCGAGGCGCTTCAGAGGCGATCTTGGGCGCTCTTGGGGCCGTCGTGGGGGAATATTGGGCCCTTTTCTGGGGCTCTCTTCGACCATCTTGGGCACATCTTGAGGCTTCGAAGGCGCATCGGAAGCCAAACGGCGAGAAGGCACAATTCATAGATTTGCCTTTTGCGCCCGCGTGGCACCGCCGAGCCCGAGAGAAGCGGGGCCGGGCGACAGTGCTGCTAAGGCGAGCAGACGCCAGGGACCTCAGCAGGCACACGCATCGTCCGAGGGATCAGCCGGCATGGGGGGACGGTGAAGTGATCTAAGAAGGGCAAGAGCGGCGAGAAACAGCAGCAGCCGCAGACCAAACCACCTTTGCCGCTTTCGTAGAAAAGTGTATGATGCAACGCTCAGGTATCGCTGAACTTAGAGTGGTGCTGGCAGTGCGGAAGGCATTGGCAGTCCTCGACCAGTGCAGCATCCTGTTCGTCCCAACCGCCTTCAGAAGATGGTAGCAGTGGGCCCCATCTTCAGACGGTTTCTAAGGGTTCGACCAAAATGGGCCGCTCGACGACTCCAGCATCGTGTCCATCCATTCCAGTGTTGCAGCAGGCAGTTGGCTCTATTGGGACACGCAGCATGAACGAGGATCGTGCGCAACGCAACATTGAACCGCCCAGAGGAGTTCTCAATTCAATGCATGTCGTAGTTTGAGAGGCGCGCAGAGGACCCCAGCCCAATTCGCCCAAGAAAACTCGCAGCGCCGGAAGCCCAAGACCAGAATAATCGCGAAGAACGAAGTGAGAGTAGCAGAGCTTCTTACACCGTCAGAAAACGCACGAGCTGCAGCATCGGAGATTGACGATAAGTTGCACCAGGGGGAGCGTCTTTTGAAATCAGCCCACGCGGGACATGCGACTCATCAAGTTGCGCTGGTTTCACATATGAAAAGAAAGCAGCAGCATGATCGGGCACCGCTTGCGGCAATCGCAGAGGCCCTCAGAAGGCCCTGAGCAGCGCGGGCGGCGCAGCAGCTGGCGCGGCAGACTCCGCCGCCAAGGGGGGCGGCGCCCGAGCCGCCGTAGCAGGCGCGGCCCCTGCGGGGGGGGGCCCAGGGCCAGCGGGCCAACGCCGTCGGGCGGCCCAGCGCCACCCCCCCCCTCCCCATCGCCGAAGCAGGGCTCGGGGGAGACTGGGGCGGGGGCGGACGAGCCCATGGAAGGCCGACGGGGGGGGGCGGCGACGACGGACCGCCAGAGGCCGCAGCCGTTCGCGCGACAGGCCGCGCGACAAGTAGACTTGCCCCCCCCCCCCCCCCCGCGCCAGTTCCGGCGGGCACCCTCCTCCCCGCCCAGAGGCTGAGGCAACGTGCGCGTCTCCTGCTGGAGACCGCGGCGGCGGCACCTGCGGCGTTGGCGCGGTCGCGCGTTCGCGGTGGACCGCCGCGCTTGAGTCATTGAAGGCCTGCCGGCCCCCCCCCCCCCCAGGAACGCCGGTTTTTCCCCGGGGGCCCTGGTGGCCAAGGCGCCCCTCTTCAAGAACGGGTGCGCTTCCTTTCGGCGCCCGTGCCTGCCCGCCAAGAACGGCGCCCCCAGTGGCGGCGGCGGCGGCGAGCGCGCGCATTGGAGGCGGGGTGGTGGGTGGGGGGGGGGCGGGGGGCGTTGCCAGAAGCGCGTGGATTTGCAGGTCGACCCCCGCGTCCTAGGCGTGGTTTCGCCTGGCCGCCTCCTCCAACTTCAGGTTCAGATCGTTTGGGCATTCTGCCGCAATGAACATTCTGGGCGCGGGGGGGGGGGGGAGTCGATCGCGGAGGTCGGGGCCCCGCCCATAGCAGGAGGAGGGTTCAATCTGGAACCTTCCGCGATGAGTGGTGGTTTGGCTCCGCGCAACGCGCGGCCAGATCGCGCGGCCCGCCGGTTGCGTCTTGACTCAGCAAGACCACTCGGCCGTCTTACGTCTGCGGCCAGAACCCTTCGCCTCGGGGCCAGGGCGGGCCTTGGAACAGCTGCGCCTCTGCGCGACCACCTCCCGCGCTGCCGATGGCACTTCTTCGATCGAAGCGCCGCGGCTCAGGAAGGCCCAGAGGGCCCCCCCGCGCCCGCCCGCCGCCCCGCCCTGCCACGATGACCTCCGCGCCGCCTTGGAAGGGCCTTTGCTCGAAGTCGAGTCCGACGAAGGCCTCCGACCTGCACCGGCAGATCGAGCGGGGCGCATCCAGGGAGCACTGGATACTGCGCATCAGGCACGGGCTTCCGCGGAGGAGCACGGGGTGTGCGGCGCAGGGCAAGAATTCGACAGGAGTACTTTAAAAAAGGGCCCCCTTTCTCGGTCGCGTCAGCGTCTGCGGCGAGTTTGCCGATCGCTAAGAGCAGCCCGTTCGCGCCAGCGTTGCGAGCAGTGGGTTGGGCGGCCAGGCGACTGCAGGAATTGCTGGTGCCGTTCAGGCAGTTTGGCGTGCACAGTGGGCCATCGCACGCCCAGAGGCATTCCGCGCGCGTCGCTCGCGGTTGCAGGCCCCGCCCGAGAACCCGCGGCCCGCGCTGTTCCGGCGTCGCCCGCGGGCCGAGGCCGATCGCATGCGAACTCATTGCCTGGAAGGACCTCGCGCCCAGGTCGGAGATGCAGGCGCGCGTGGTTCAACAGGTTGCCAGGGACATATCGCGGTCGGATCGGCGCTCGACGGTTCTTTCGTGCGTCGGGGGGCGTTGGGCCCACGCGCGCGCCGAAGTGGCAGCTGATTTCCCGGGCGATGTCATCGCCTGGGGCGACGGGGAGCTGGCGCGCAGCTTTTCTGCCAGGCATGCTGCGCAAGGAGACCTGTGGCGCGCAGCCGTGAAGGCGACCGTCGCGCCAGGGGGTGCGTTGGAGCCGCCGCTTCCGCCCAGATTTGTCATGCCAGCAGCTCTCGGTGGGGGATTGTCGAGGAACTTGCCCAGCTGGCTCAAAGCTAACGCCGTCGCGAACGACGGTTATCACCCCGCCACTAAAGCTCCATCGTCGGTCGCCTCCGACACGATCCCCGTGCAGACTGCAGGGGGGCCGTGCCCCCGCGCCGCCCTGGATGTTGCTGGCGCTGTTGTTTCGTTGGCCAGACGCCTGGCAGGAGGGCGGGCGGTGTCTTTCAGAGCCAGTCCAGGTCGCGCTCGGAAGCTGCCGCCAGCTGGCGCATGGAGCGGCAGACTAGCTTGGCGGACGGGCGAATTTCAACATGGCATCAGGGGGGCGCGACGGGCGGAATCTGGAGACAGGCGGTCAGGGGTGCGTGCGCAGATGAGCGGTAGGCAAGCGGGCGTCTCCTGGCCGATCTGTACCAGTGCTATGAGCACGTGAAATCGGTATCGCTGTGGCACGAATGCGAGCTGCGTCAATTCCCATTGCATGTTCTCCGCGCCTCGATTTTGAGTTACCGCGGGCCAGTTGCGATCGCGATGGATAGAGCGCGCCTCCCAACCAGCGTGCCCGAGCTCAGGAATGGCATTGTCGAGGGGAGCAGCGCGGCTGCGCATGGGGATAGAAGGGCGCGGCGCCCTTGGTCAGAGACACGGAGCCACCCCGGGGCGCGAGCTCCACGATTTACATCGATGACCTCGACGTGGACAGATCGCACCCAAAGGCTGGGGGGCG